TTCTATTCTATTCTATTCTATTCTATTCTATTCTATTCTACTCTACTCTACTCTACTCTATTCCAGGGTTCAGCAATTCCAGCTTCTCCTGAAAGTGGGGTACAGGAATGTAACCACCTTACCCCTTCCACTGAATCTTGCCAAATGCCTATTACAGTCCTAAATGTCCCAAGATGTCATCCATATTCATGACTTAGTATGGTAATGTGGCTATCCTTCAATGCTATCCTTAGCATTGCAGGAAGTGCCTATCACAACTTACCCATTGGCCAAAAAAAAAAGAGTAAATCATTTTCTTTTGCTGCTATTTAAGTCCTATTGCTTCACTAAGTAATTTAAATGTAGGTGTAAAAGAAACTAAATTAAAAAGTAAACAAACAATGCAAGCAGTGTTGGGCATAGATAGTTGTTCCCGTGTGACCCCATTGCTTTGCAGAGCTGTAACGGTTACTAGTTAGCTACCAGATTTATATCAAGGTGCTGGTATTCAGCTATACACACGCCTACAGTTTGGTTATTTGAGGGATTACCTGTCTCTGATTTTTTACCCCCATGAAGTGTGATCAGACAGAGCAGTAATATTATGGGCCCCATCAATTAATCAGTGCTATCTTGTGGGGCTTGCCTTCTTTCTATCATTTCCCATGCCTGCCCCCAGGAATGATTCCCCCACTCCGATCCAGATGGCTCCCACTCTGATGATTATTCAAAGCTATTAAAAAGCTGAATATTGTCCCGGCCTTTGGAGTAGAGTAAAATAAATTCAAATATTCTGCTGAATAGATTTTGGGGGGGGTTGGGGGGGGGAGATTGGCTATATGTTCTTTTGGGCGTCATTCATAATTCCTTTTTTTTTTGTCTTTTGAATTTTACATTTTTATATTTTTAATTGCATGCTGGCCAGAGTCCTTGGGAGTCAGGCAGCCTATAAAACACATAAATAAAAATAAACAATGCTTGGTTTCCAAAAAGCATGTGGAAACTCCTTTGAGCCCTCCATGTTGAAAAATGAAAATAAGTGACTTCTGATTGCTGAATATCCTCTTTTCATTCATAGAAAACTAGTTAAAATAAGCTATGAAACCTTGAAATAAATGGAGCATTTGACAAAAAGCAGGTGAGGGTTTGATGGAGTCTATTTTATCCCCAGCCATTTTTCTGGTTTGGATTTATATGCTGCAATATTGACTTTTTAGAATATTTTGGGGGAGTATTACACCCTGTTTTTTGTATTGATTTGGTTTACAACCTATCTTCGTACTCTGCTAAGTAGTCAAGTCAGTTAAAAATGTAAAATATATAAATAATAGGATGATTAAAATATTCATTGTTTTAAAGATTTCAAAAGATTAAAAGATTAAAATTAACACCCACATCATACTAAAATCATGTATTCATTAAAAACCTAGTCCAAATGCCCTAAAGACTTGAGGATCAACCATAATAATCGAAAGGATGTGTTCCATGATCTGTGAGCACCTGAGTGTCATGCAGTAGAAACCCTGGCCTTTTGTATGCATTGACACCACATACATATACAAAGGTAAGTTGTAAATTTTAAACATTATTTAAAATAAAGTTGTTAACCAAAATTGATATCTGTGACCAAGATGACAACCCTTACAAATCAATGATGGGCCAGTTCTACTTCAAGAAGGCATACTTGAAGGACCTGGGAACCAAGTCATGAAGGGGTTTATAGAATAAAAGCAGCACTTTGAACTGTACTCAAAAACAAATTAGGAGACATGCAGTTTCCCTAAGCAACTATTATATGCTTGTATTGGGTCTAATCTACCAGGAAACAGGCCATTGCATTTTCCAGGTAATCTTCTGCATAGCAGTGCTATAATTTGTTCTTGAGTTGTTGACCACATAACTGTAGTCTAAAGTTGCCCTATGTTCTACTCTTGCTTAAGCTGAAGCTTCACAGCCATAGCATGTTTATATAAGAAGTCCCAAGTTCTTGAAGAACACAGAAATCAAACTTTCCATGTATGTATCAATCAAACCATCCAGTAGCTTAAATGTTAGATTATCAGCACCTTCTTGACCTCCCTTAGGCTGATTGGCTGGCTGACTTTTGAGCTCTCTCTTAGCTCTAGATGGAGAAGTAAGAATTTATTTATTTATTTATTTATTTATTTATTTATTTATTTATTTATTTATTTCATCTATCTATCAATCACTCTATCTACTCACTCTGGATTAGCGTAGTAGTTTATGATATATAATCTTCAATGAACCTTCTTCAATGGATTGTTTCTGTCAGAGGTGTGTGTGTGTGTGTGTAGCTGTTATTTTTATTAGTTCTATTATTTCCCGTTTTAGTGCAGCATCCCCATCTTTATGCCTTCCACATGAGTTGAGCAACGCCTATCATCCTAACCAGATGACATTTCACAGAATTAGGCCACCATCCTCTGGATTACTGCTGGAATCCAAATGAAACGTCCAACCGAAAGCATTGCTTGAACATATCTGGTGAAAAGAGATCATACCGGCAATTGGTAAAAAAAAACAAAAAAACCCCCTTCAGTGCACATCTTAAGTGGCCTTGAAGTGACTTGCCATCTTAAAAGCTGTTCTTAGAATAAAAGGAATCACTTAGGTATGCTCCTTATTATCTGCTAACCCTGGAATTTTGATTAGATTCTATCATTTCTGTACATGTATTTTACTGCTGTTTATTAAAAAGAAGTATTAGTACACAGTAAGGAAGAAATGTTAGTTTTGAAAAGGATTCACATTTGTGTGCATTTTTAAAATATCTCAACGGGCATTTTACTTTTGATTTAACTGGACAAGAAATAAAAGCTTATCACTTGGCTGATCTTATATGGTTGCAAAAAACTTAATATAAATTAATGGCTAGAAGAGACATATATAGGAAGTGCATTCAATTTTAGCTAAGAGAAGACATTTATATTTTATTAGATGAGATACTTTTATAATTCACAAATGGACTTTGTTTAAGCAGCCAAAGTGCTAACATTTCAGTGACCTTCAGTAAGGATGCTGAGACTCCTCCTCAAAACTATTCCATTTTCACTTTAGTATCCAGGAAAGATAATGGAAAATATAGCAAACAAAAGCAAATAAATATTAACACCATTTTTGTCTAGTGAGGAAGGGTGCATATGGTGAAACAGGAAAATTATCACCGAACATGGGCTAAAAATCTTGATTTAGCAAGAACAAGTTCATCCTGCAGCCTTCTGTTATTAGAACTGCAGCTTTTTTATAGGGATTGCCTGATGCTGGTGCTAAATTAAGAATAATTATATCTGCTTAGTAGTGTAGCTTGGGACTGAGGCTGATGAAATTTACTGAAAATTCTAATATCCAAAGGGTAGCTAAAATTATGTTAACCCAGTAATCCTTACTACTATTTAAGGAAATAAATGTCTTAATGCTGAATTTTAAATGCCAAGAATCAACCATATTTTTTTCTTCCTAGCATTTTCCCTTAAGCTCAGTGCCCCCTCCCTCCCCATCAACTAAGAAATGTTCTACTGGTTGACACTTGTCAACCGAGCCTGAGATTCTGGGCTGACAGAGAGTGACTGGTCCAAAGTCACCCAGCTGGCTTTCATAACAGAGGTGGACCTAGAATTCATAGTTTCCTGGTTTCTTTCTTTTTAATTATTATTATATTTTTATTTTTAAAATGCAAATAATATAAACATAGTACATATACATCTAAATACAAAAAAAAAAGAAGAAAAAGGAAAAACTCTCTAATATTGCAGTACACCCCCACCCCCCAGAGACCCTGTTTTCCCCCCTTATATTTCTTTGTCTATTAACAACTAAAAGATATACAATATATTCCAATTGTGCCCTTTTCCCCTCCAAAACAACATATATTCTTGAGTAGGTTTATTCCCTTTGCCTTCCACCAATGCTGATTTTATAAAATCCCTCCATATTTCATTATAATTGTTTATTTGATCATCCCTTTTTAAAATTTAATTTCATTGTTAATTTGTTGCCATACTCCATATTTCATTATACCACTCATTTCTTTGAATATCCCAATTCCATCCCCAATATTTAGCCATCACTAACCTAGCTGCCATTATCAAATTCACAATCAATTCCTTTTTTGTTTCATTTATATCAGTTTATATTCATTTTCGTTAACTCTAACTGACATATTCTTACATATTTTTCTAGTTTCTTGGTTTCTAACCTGATGCCTTAACCACTAAACCAAAATGGGTCTCCAAATATGAATAAATATCCTGATGGTGTATTCAGGCTTATATGGTCTAAGATGGCTGCCTGAGGAAAATATGGAAAAGGCAACGTCTATACTGATTAGTACAGGTAATCCTCGACTTATAACTATTTGTTTAGTGTCCATTCTAAATTACAAGGGATTTTAAAAAATGATATCACCTGTTTTCACATGTATGTCAGTTGCATTTGGCAACTGACATATATTTATGACAGTTACACCATCCCGGGTAATGTAAGCTTCCCAGCTAGCTTCCGACAAGCAAAGTCAATGGGGAAAGCCAGCTTTGCTTCGTGACTACCTGATTCACTTAACAACTGCAATGACTTGCTTAAGAACTGTGGCAAAATAAGTTTAATTGGGGGCAAAATTCACTTAGCTGCTACTTTGTTTAGCGATGGAAATTTTGGGCTCAATTGCAGTCATAAGTCAAGGAGGCAGGGAAATATTCTTCATCACAGTTAATACAATGCAAAACTGATGGGAGAAAATGGATGCTGTTAATCTGCCCAGGAAAATTTGGTTATTCTTCAGCCTAAAGGCCTTCAGGGTATGCTTACCTGCTGACTTTCATTCATGTCAATGTTAAAATGAAATACTCCGTACAATTTTACCTACGCAGTAGCTCCTGAAGTTGTATCTGTGGGAAAAAGATTGCATGCAGAATGATTGTCCATTCTGCAGATGCCTGAGGATAGAAGAACTTCCATCCTGAACTCTGGATTTATCGCTGGACATTCAAAAGTCTCTGCAATGAAATCAGTTGTACTCAATGTGCAAACAACTCTTTCCTCTGACATGGTAACATGACTTTTAGAAGGGCAGGGTTGCTCCCTGCTGCTTGACTGCATGAACTATAAATCCTAGACAGAATTGTTTTTATTCAGAATTCATTTCATGTTACAAATACAAATAATAATAATAAAAAACACTCTGCACGTTCATTACATTTAGTTATTCCAAAACTAGTAAGAAAGCAAACACCTGGGTTTTGCAAAACAACAACCCAGATGTGCAAATTGTATTGACTTTGTTTTGTTGATATGCAAGAAAAATTGAGACTTTCACACTTGGCATTTTCTTTCTTTTAACCTGAACATGTTACTTTAAACAAAATAACATACAGCTTATTTCCCTGTCCAAAACCAGGGAGCCAGTAAATGATTTTTTTCTGAGGCAGTAAATGATAAGCAGATATATATCTTGCAGCTATAATAATGTGGGCTATTTTTCTCTTCTCAGTGTACTACTTCACATATCCAGCACATATGTCAAGGTCTTTTCCTAGTCCTTTTCACTTATAATGAAAACTTCCCTCAGTAAAAATAGTCCCATTAAAAATAAAGGGGCATGAAAACACTAGGGACTAAAGAATAAATTGAATTTGTATGCAGTGGGATGTTGGAAATTAACCTAAAGAAAGCAAGAAAGAAGTACCGTAACTTAATTACATAGCTTTATATTTAAATGCAGAAATATTTGCTTCAAATTATTTCAACAACAGTAATCTGTGAGCTCTCATTTTTCCTTGAAACTAGTACAATCCTTTTGTGTTTTTTAAAAAAATATTGCCTAGTTCATAGGATTTTTGTTTTTCTTCCATAGTCTTGATAAGCCTTTAAAGATGTTAATATGGATTAAATTGGAAGCCACGGTGCTGTAAGAGGAGGTAGCCTGCTGTGTAAATGCAAGAGAATTTCATCTCAGGAGAACAAGATTCATTTTCCAAGATGAAATTGCTTTGGCAGTGTCAGACTAATAGAGATGTTTGTTCCTTCCTATCACCACACTTGTTATGTGCTTGTGCATATCTGAACCTGACAGTGAATGTGCCCTTCAGAGAGCTTCTCTGATAATAGGAAAAAGTGGACAAGGAAAAGACAGGGCAAGGATTTCTTTGCACTCCAATTGCTGGATGTTTCGGAAGGGAAGTCAGCCTTTCCTTTTTCATCTTTCTGTCACTGATCTCCCGCCTGGGCGGCCCACCACATAGCCATGTCTCTCATGTCTCCCCCAGATTCAAATCTGTTAAATGGTTAAGCGCTGGCAAATAGGGTGGTGGGAATGTTATTGACAGACTGAAAGAAGAGTGGGAGTTGATTGCACATTGCTAAAAACCTGGGGAAAAGCCAGTATAATATAATTTCACTCTGGGAATCTATCTCTATGGCAACAAAGAACACTTTCTTTAAAAAACAAAGGTTCCAGTTCAAAAGTATTACTGAAGCATAATTAAAGTGCTGGTGGGATCTCTCTTTCTCTCTTTTAACTTGCTGGTTTATATCTGATACATTTAAATATGGAGAGGAAAAACCTGTTTATTGATCCAAGACATCAAACCTAGGATTTCTGCCAAAAAGTTTTCCTGTTTTAATGTTATTTATATAGGAGCCAGACTTAGCCTGCAAGCAGGACTGATGCTATCTTAAATTTATTTCTTCTAGACAGTTGTCCCCCCTCCCTTTTTTTGGCATGATCAAGAAATGTAGAAACCAAAGGGTTTCTCAATCTGCCCTCCTCTTTCTTCTCTCTCTCCCTCTCCCCCCTCTCCCTCTCTCCACACAAACTCTCTCCCTCTCCCTCCCTCTCCCCCCTCTCCCTCTCTCCACACAAACTCTCTCCCTCTCCCTCCCTCTCTCTNTAGGAGGTTTTGGTGTGTGTGTGTGTGTGTGTGAGAGAGAGAGAGAGAGAGAGACGGCTGTGAGGGTAAAATACAAAATGAGGCTAGAATATTTCATGAGGGTATGGAGCACTGAGGGTTGGAGAAAATCTGCTGTACTGTTTAGAAAAGGAAGTTGAATGTAGAACTGGAACACTGGAAGAAGAATGTGGCATTCCAAACTTTTGCTGCTGACCCCACAGACTTTTTACAACTGGTATCAGTCAAATATTAATGTTTGCTCAACCCCCCAATCTGTCCACCCTACTGTTCTAAATAATTTTGCAGCTGTATGCATGCATGCTGAAAAAGTCATTTTCCAGTTTCTCAGTGTGTTGATGCAACAAAAATGACAATGCATTCATTAGAATCTATCTGATGTTTGTAGATGTTCCATCCATGTAGGACATTCGTTATGTATGACGTGCTACTAATTGAATTAGTAAATATGCCCTTATGTAAAGTGAAATTGCATAGATTCAGTAAATTAAGAATACTCATGTCTTTATAACATTCTCATTTGTAACTGCAGGAAGAAAAATGGTGGAAGTGGATTTGAATAATTCCCATTAAAGTTTCTTGCCTGGCTGTTCCTGTCAATATTGGAGCAGTTGTTTTTATGCCAACTGAAAGATTCTGAATTCAGGGTGCTGTACATCCTAAACAATGCATTTGTTAAAAGAAAAAAGTATTTGCATTTGTTTTTTTTAAAGGTAAGATCTTCCCTGGCCTCATTCTATTTTTCTTATTTTTCTTTTGGCTGGAAAAAAATATATTTTCTAACTCACTTCTTGAAAGAAAACAAAACCACAAAAAATAATTCCTCTAATTTAAGCGTTTCCTTCTGCTACGTAAACATCTTTGATAGCAATTCATGATCTGAAATGCATTTCAGCCATGCCACTGCTTAAGAAATAACATTTGCTTATAATGATAGTAAAAAGGGGTGCAGTAAGCTTTGACATTTCGCATAATGCTGAGCTAAGGAAATAGATTATAATTATTTTAGAAAAATAGGCTGCATGTGTTAGGAGAATGTTAAAAGAGGAAGCTAAAGGCTAAAAATATTGAGTCAGGAGGCAGTGTCAGAACAACAAGCAACAAGAATCAAAACAATACATTTTTTTTAAAAAAAATACATTTTATTTATACATCAAATTTAGAGACTGCCCATCTTATTCACAGAGTGACTCTGAGTAGTGCCTAAATACCTTAGTTCAGGGGTGGGTTTCAAAAATTTTTATTGACGGTTCTGCGGGCATGGCTTATTTTGTGGGCATGGCTTGGTAAATTTATGATTGGAGATGGGAAATA